TCGAAATGCACCAATCACAGCCGACCTTTGTGATATAAATGATACCGTGCAATCAGTCGACCTTATCGCCTGAAGAAGACTAGCAGTAAGCAGTCGAAGCGTCGCGATCTACATCTAAAGTGACTACATCGTGTGACAAACGATAATACGCTTTATTATTAAACGGAATACTATTCAAAATGTCCGAAACCTAGATGGACCTTACAAAATCATTAAAAAAAAAAACTAGTCAGGTATATCCAGGCGATTTGCCAAGCAAATTTCATTAGCTGTTGTGACGTCAGACTTGTTTTTGGTGTGATATCCCGGTCTTTGTAGTAAATGTCGTTTAATCGACGGATCTTTCTCAGGTATCCCAAAAAATAACCAAATGGTACATATTTAATTATCCCCGATACACACTTAAAAATATCTCTTTCAAACAGTTTGAAGAACATAGTCCTCTTTCCTTTATAATAATATCCCAGTAGAAGACACACTTTTTTCTTGTCAACTCGTCATTCTAGTTTTTTTGCGCATGACCCGCTTAGTAACACAGCATTCTGTAGTATCAAAATAATGCAATATTATATGCAATATGAAATGGCATAACTTGATATATTCTTTCCAGCGGGCTTTGTAGCTGCTATGTAAATATAAGGGCCTGGCTTAGTTACTAGTTCTAGGAATTTTGCGAGAAGTTTGTCTTTAAATACTTTTATATGAAGATGTATCTAAAGATGTGTCACAAAAGGTTTATTTTCGGTATTTCACGATTTTTAATGAATTTTATATAGCCAGATACACTAATAAATAACTTACCAAACTGGGAAACCTCTTCTCGACGTCTAATTGCTCATCACAGTTCTTAACTTTGGTCGCCATGGCATAAATGGTACTTTCAGCTCTTTCTTGGTGTAGAAGACACAGGACAGGTCGCAATAAATCGCTCATAAACCTATTGTTTTCATTTTGTTTTCATTGCTTTTATTGTTTACCTCGTTCTTTTGTACTTTTGTTCTGTATTGTGTTTCACCAGCTGTGTCTTCTACACCAAGTACGAGCCGTAATTTCTATAACCTGAGTGAAAACTAAATAAACATCACAGTTCTTAACTTTGTCACCGTGGCATGAATGGTACTTTCGGCTCTTTCTTGGTGTAGAAGACACAGGACAGGTCACAATAAATCGCTCATAAACCTATTGTTTTTATTTTGTTTTCATTGTTTTTATTGTTTTCCTCGTTCTTTTGTACTTTTGTTCTGTNGCTTCGCTTATAAAGAAAAATAAATTCAGCATCGCTGTTCACTATCGTTTAAGCTTAATAGGATAAGATTTCTACCATCTTTTTTATAGTCTAAAGGATTTTGAATTATTGACGTCGCCGTCCTTTGCAAAAATACACATCTTAAGCATTTCGTTTTTGACGACACGACGGGACCCGCGAAAGTTTCCCGCGTCCACTGCCGTTCCCGTCCTCGTATCTTAAGGTCCCTAATAACTTCTCTGACGGTAGCTCAGAGCGTCCGGAATAATGGCTCTTTCTTGGTGTAGAAGACACGGTTTGCCTAAAACAAGAGAACGAATGACCAAAAGAACGAGGAAAATAATAAACAATTGCTCCCTCGTTCTTTTACCTTCTATTGTTTTAGGCCGCAGAATAGGCGGATCAGCGGGGCAGAGAGCGAAACGCGATACACGAGCGCGTCTAAAAGGCGCGCGTGGTTCCGCGTTCGTGTATCCCGTTTCGCTCTCTGCCCTGCTAATCCGCCTGTTCTGCAGGCTAGGCCAGCTGTGTCTTCTACACCAAGTAGGAGCCGGAGTAATTTGTTCAAAACAGATTGATAGAAGTTGTAATTTACTCAGGTGGAGCGACTGATAGCGGTTTTCCTGTTTCTGCAGAAAGCTTCAATCAAGTCTCAACAGCTTGGATTTTCATGGTATCAAGAAATCCAGCACACTAACAACGGGAAACTTGAAACCTTATCTTAATTTTTGGCACATGAAAATCAAAGGTCAGATGGAAGGGAACTTGATTCCCCTGAAATGATCCCCAATCCCTGGAAATCTCCTATGACCTTCCATCGCTGAGGTACATATAGACACTTCACTTCCTTAACTCTGCATCGCATGCTCAGTTGGGTGTTGAGAGGGATATCACTTAACTCTTGCTTGCTTCAAATACCACATGCCCAGTGACTGGTGTTCAGAATATCGATACAAATAGAATGTAACCAAGGTAACCCATAACTACTGCTTTAATTGATCAATATGAGACCACTGCTATTTATTACTGCTAATAAATAATAAAGAAACCCTTCACAGAAATTAAAAGTTCTCCAAGTAATGGTAGCAAATTAGGATGTGTCTTCAAAGGGAATAAAATAAAAGTGAACATCTTGCTGAGAAGGGGCCCCATAAAACTTTTAACCCTGTATTCTTCAACAAAGCAAGGAGTCCTAGACTCCCTTGACTACAGGGTGTTGTATAAAAATTAATTTCTGAAATTTAATGTGTTTATTCACAAGCTGCCTTCTAAGATGTTAAGCCTACTGTAGGGTTGATTTTATGGTTAATGTTCAACCCATTGTCTGATCGTTTAGAATGGGAGATAAGCCACCACATCACATCTAATAACTACTGTAACGTTTTTCATTGTAAACAAATTGTGATAATTTGCAATTTTTTTCTCCTTTCCTGTAATTCAGTAGCTATAACTGTGTACACCCAGGAAGGCCATTTAACATCAACTTCCACTAGAACTTGGCAGGAAGTGTCAGCACAGAGCAGAGTTAGACTGTACAGTTGATTTCCTGCCGTCTTGCTCTAAGGACAATATACATGTACATGTGTACTTGTACCTATTATATACCTCAGTAGACATTTATTTTATAAGCTTAGACAGCCAAAAGGGATGGGAACAAAACTTCTGTGAAGGTTTCCTCCCACATTTCACAACTTAACATGCCGGGTTCAACATCAAGTTCTTTCAACTCTCTAGAGAAATCTTTAATATTTAAGATATCATCCAGTGTATCAAAACCCTCGCAGTCCATTCCAACGAGGTCTGCTACTGTTATGTCACTGCTGCTCGATTCTGGGACGGTCTCATCTGTGCTGTTGACCGTGCCTTTTGTGACTGAGGTGCTATGCTGACAGCAGGCTGAGCCTGGCTTGGCTTCCTGCTTGGGCTGCATAAGGGCAAGACATTCTCCTTCTTCATCAAGTTCAAGCATGCCAAAATCCATGTCAGGCTAAAAAGTGGAAAAAAGACATTTTGTTATGACATAATATTTACTGTAGTATTTTTCTTTTTAATACACATGTAATATTTTTTCCTTTTAATACACATGTAAGGATCCGAATCTTATTCAATAATGAAAACCCTTGATATTTATATAACAAGTTCATAAATCACTAGATGACAAATTATACAGATATTAATAATCACTGTACAGAGAACCTTTATGAGCCTTGAGAACCAGAGACTCAGGATTTTGTATATATTGAAAGATTTCCATTTTATAATTTTTCCTTTAATTTTTTCTATAGATTGCCTCACACAACCCAACAAGCTTTTTGCTTTTATACTGGGTTTAGTAAGGCTATCCATCTACCTTAGTAGAAATGCAATTTACACAGCTGGTGGAAGACATGCAAATTTATCTTCCCATAAGTCTAGCATCACTGGCTTGTCATATTTTGTTGTAATGATAATGAATAAATTCCACTAAAGCACATGTGATACCTGGAAACCATACAGGTGTGGGTGGGAGTAAACCCACTTTGTAGAGAGTTTATTCCAGAAAAGGAACCAAGGGAAAGATAAATTTTATCAGACTGTTCAGTGTGCTTTAAGTTTGACCTTACTCAAAGCATGCCTAAGTCACCTTGTTTAAATTTGAGAATACAGTTCTGCTAAGAAAATTCATTTAAGAAAGACATATATTAAAAATTACCTGCTGTTGATTGTCATCCAAGTCGTGATCAGAGAAAGAAACAGAATCAGGCGTTCCTGCTGCTGAGAAACTAAGAGTGATGCATACTCGTTACATTCTGCTTCTTTCTTGATCACAACTGAATTGATATGTTTGGTAGGTGAACTTGCTTCTGGGCTTGATGGGTATGACTGCATGGTTACTGGCTCTGGTGATACTGGTGGTGTGATACCCAAACGAATTCTCAGTTCTGAATTCTCAATCTCCACAGCCTCTGAATGTTTTCTTAGGCTTTCATTATCCATGCGAAGAGCTTTATTCTAGAACAAATACAGAAATTTGGGTTAGATAACATATGTGTATAAGGTATTTGCCACTAATGTCAGATTGTCAAGGTTCATCTCATAATTTAGCCAGGAGGTGTAAAGCCATTTTTTCCAGCTCATGTTAAGAGAAACCTTGATTTATTTTAATTTCTCAGAATAATCAGTGGCGGATCTAGGGGAGGGGCCCGGGGGGCCTGCCCTCCCCTTATTTTGGGTGAAAAAAGAAGAAATGACTGAAGGAAGAAAAGCCGGCAGGGCAAGCAAAACAAAACCACCCCCCCCCTAGCTCAAAGTCTGAATCTGCCACTGATAATGAATTATATTCTTTACCTCCATGATAATACAGTAAACTATATGGAATAGAACCCTGAAATAACAAAACCTCATTATAGTGAAGAACATATTTTGCCAGTCCTTTTGCCCTTCGTTGTATCTAGGTCCCACTCCAGCACTGCTTAATTTCACTTTGGTGAACACTTTTAACAGAATTTCTACCCAACAATAGTAAGCTCAAAATGCTGCCTGTGGGACATATTGTGTATTTAGGATGAAAATAATTGCACAGATATGTTCACTGGCTCACTTAAAGAAATATTAAGTGGTTTCCCATTATTTGATGGAAATATTCATAGAATTCCACTAGGATAGGCATTAGGATTCGAATTTAAGACTTTGAGAAACCTCACACATTATCACACATTATGTCAACCCAAATACAAAGTGTTTGCCGAGGTCTGCTCAAGTATCTGCTCGCTATCAAAAAAGAGGTTTGCATGGGCTCATATTATAGAGCTACCTTTCAGCGAAAAAATAAGCCAACATTGCTGAAAGGATATGATATGTCGACTGGTTTTCAGCTCTTTGAAAATTGAATCTTTCACAGTCAAGTTTCGTGTCCTTTTCTACACATTTTAGTACAATGGTTGGATTTTTCCCACACAGAGGTGTGATTTTCTTGCGAAGTACAAATCGTGCATGTCCTTTTTTCTCAGGCATCTGAGAACGGATGTGGTTAAAAACACAAGGTTTCTTTCCCACGAAATATCAGTTGGCTTGTCAGGTTTTCCTCCGATACTCCAGAATCCTTTCCTGAACAATCTGACAATAGATAATGTCCCAGAATAGGAACGACCACGCATAAAAGTATACTTTTAAGCAATGCCTTTATTTATTATGACTAACTACACTACATTGGATGGCATGAAAAACTATGGTTCCAGTGTTTGACCCCCCATCCCCCTTTGCCGCAACATAAACTTCCTCAAAGCATATTTCTATTTCGCAGAAGCCACTTCCTTCACAATGGTTGAAAACAAGAACGCGAAACCGATGACACATCGATATTTGAAGTAAATTTCCAGACAAGGTATATTGAAGCCTAAGTTTTTCAAACGCCTTATTGCCTCTCTCCCTTTCGTTGTGATCAAACTACAATGTAAGTGATCAGATATTGCGTAGCCATGAAATGCGTGTTAAAATAAAATTTCATCATAAGATAGCTTATAAGATTGCCACTGAGAACTTTTCAAAGACGTTGATCAATATGTCTTTTTTCAAGCTTACCTCTTGTTCTAATTGTGCGACCATCTCTTCGAGTTCAGTCATTCGCGCTTTCTTCCTATCGCGAGCAGTTTGAGCAGCCACGCGATTCTTTAGTTTTCTGAACAAAACAAAAACAAAAACCCGTTTATTTAGGGAAAAGGTTCTTCTGTGAACTACGTAGGTTCATATGAATATTCGGACGCAACAAAAGCCTACAATCCATATAAGCTAAACTTACATAGTCAAGCACCTAATCTAAGCTTAATTCAAGCTTATACCTGCGAAGAGCTCTTTCTTCTGCCGATAAGTTATCAAGTCTTTTTCTTTTTCTTGGTTGCCCATCTGTTGTCGAGCTGTTAAGGACAAGCGAATTTAGTACGGCCTCTCTATCTATGGTTTTTGATTCCATTTTACCGTTCGTAAAAGGTACCAAGACGTAACTATACTTTTCAATACAACTACTGCAGCCTTCGGATCTAAAATTTACAAGTAACTTTTTCCGAAAATTTCATCATACTTCCCAAATATGGTAAATCAGTTCCCAAAATAGATTAAATATGTGTGGCTCAGCCAATAGAAAGAAGCCACGACTCGAGAGTTTCTCTCGTCCCTCCCCCTCCCCATCCCATGCAACTCTCACTTTCTTTTACGTAATAAACACTTTCGTAGCCATTGTCTTGTTCCGTGAGGAGGAAGGCAAAAGACGTGACAATTAGAAGCGGCGAGCGGCGTCGCCTTTTCACTGTCTTGTGTTCGCTTAGGAAACACCTCTGGTCACCTCTACCAACTATGGGAAAAATGGGAAAAGTATTCGCATTAAAAAATTTGTGCAGTCTTCAGTTATATTGTGCCATTTTATTTTTTATTGAATGCAATGTCAGTGAACGTTCCTTGCACATAACTTGAGCGAAATTTTAGAGGTCGAGTCTGGCTCAGTACGGATTTGATACCCGGGATTTAATACAACCCAGTACCACTGCATCAACCAGTAAATTAAATTCGCATCGTCGAATTGTTACTAATCTTTAAAGGGATCCATCCGGTTGTCGGACATGATGCCCGCCCGACTACTTCAGCCGTCTCAACATTAAGCATTCTTTAGACTTTCTTGGACTTTCTTATAAGTACGGTTTAGATGAGGGTTCCTGAATTTCCCCGTATTTGGTTTTCCTTTACGTTCTCGGGATTTTCATGAGAGCCAGAGATTTTTCTTGCGCGGTTTCTGCGCCCGGTGTCGGTTCGGCCGCTGAAGCGAAGCGAAAAGCGACGTGACGTGTTTCCGTCCGCCGCGCGCGAGAAAAAACCTCTGGTACCCAGGGTATCGACGCTGCTTCGGGTCGCGCGGGCTCATTTCCGGAAAATCGAGACTGAGATGACAGCCAATCAGGATTGATGGTACAAATTACGAATGTGTGACCGGGAAATCAAGCGGAAGCCATTTTGTTTGTGCTGTGAATCGTTGCTGTGAATCGTTGCTGTGAAGTGTCGGTAGGAGCTAGGATCTTTTCGTTGATAATTTAACATCTATGGTGACGAAATGTCTCAAAAAGGTAAGTATTCAATTTTACTTAAGCTTTTGGTTTGATCTGTCGACCTTGTTCGTATGCGTCGTGGCAACATGTTAGATGTGGTAACTTTCGTGTGGAAGTTTATTTCCAGGTCTTGGAAAATATTATTCGTTTGGCTGCAAGTTGCCTTTTGTCACAGCAAAAGTCAACAGAAAACGTAACTTCCTTCCACCAAAATCTTGAGAAAAGTTAAATCTAAATTGTCACCTGCATCATGGTTACCCCTGGCCGCGGGGTTGTCAATCGATAAAAATCGATATCGGAACACTACTCGATAAATCGATATCAATCGATAAATTGAATTTAAGTGTTATCGATGCTATTGATCAATCGAGAAAACTCGATACTCACATGCTGGTGAAGTTTCAAAGTTATCGATTTTATTGATTTCATCGGATTATCTACTTTGTTAGTTTATGCTTTTAAAAAACTGTAACGCAGCTTCTGATTGTGACTTTTTAACTGTGGATTTATTAGATGTACACTACAATAGATTTTGGAGTCACAGCTCCACTGGTCAAGTCCAGGAGTTCACTTTCAGGTGGAAAGTAAATTTATGAGAGGCTACATGTTCATGTTTTTGTGCTATTTTATTCATGATTTCTTTTCAGTACAAATCTTTCAATAACTACACCATGTCATTTCATGCTTCTTGACTGCAACATTCCTCTTCAAGTTATAGTGTTGGTTTTGAAACCAAGTTTTAACCTTGAACTAGCCGATTTTTGTTTCTCTCGATACATTGCATTTTTATCATTATTCAACTATCGTTTTTATGAAACTTAAGAAAAGTCTTAGTAAATGTTATTATAACCATTTAAAAGTTGTTATTCATCACGGTGGTTTTTGCCAGCTTGTTTATATCTTTTGTTGGTTTTGTTTGGATAAAATTTAAGATAGGCTACAGTTGTAGAATCGATAAATTCAATTTTTATCGATAAAATTGATAATGCTAAGTGAAAAATTGATATTTATCAATTACCCACAGCAAATCCTGTTATTGATTTTTATAGATTTTTTATATCATTGACTAAGTTTTATTGATTGTTATCGAATGTTATCGATTATCAATTTTATCGATTGACTACCCCATAAGGGGTTACTATAAGCTGGTTATTGGAGTTACATGTTGAGACATGATTAAATCTTGACACTTTATGTCAGGCTTTTAGCCAGGATCTGAAACGTGGGCATCCAAAATGTGCTGGGGACTGCTTAATTAAATGAACAAATTGTTTATAAAACCACCTGTCAAAAAACACAGTTTTCTGCAACAAGTGGAGTCCACTTTTTGAATGTAGACCTGGTAAAAGTTATGGCTTTGTTCATTGTAGCATCAAAGTTTGAATAGTATGAAAAGAAAACAGAAACATATGAATAAACTTGATGAATGCAAAAGCATACATAGTGATTGGTTACAGGCCAAATTTCTAAACCTTTAATTATTTTTAACAATAAGTAACACATTTGAATTTCTTATCCTTTCAGGGAATGTGTACTATTTAAAGTGCCCCTAACCCCAAATTTTGTTCTATTTATACTCAAAAAGAATACATAATTTGGTGAAGGTTTAAAAAGAATTGAATAAATCCGTCAAATCCTTGCAAAACTATGAATCTTTGAAGTTGTGATGTTCTGGTTCACAGCCATGCGACAAGAGATCTGGAACCTGATGTATTTGTGACATCAGCGGGGGAAGTTAGTTTCTTTGCTTTTGAGATGATCGTGCGATTAGCTGGGTTTCATCTGAAATTTCTGGCCTTAAAATCTCTCAGTTTCCTCCTCAGCCACCGAAATGATTTAGAATCACCAAGAAATGTCATCAGGCAAGACCAAGCAAGAGAAAGAGCTATAAACAGGGCTCAATACTAACGGTAGACAACTAGCCATGGACTAGTAGAAATGTAGTTTTGGCTAGTAGGTTTTTGATTTCCACGAGCCACTTTGGCTAGTTAACAAAATGAAATTGGCCAAACTAGTTTCTGTCTTTCTCAAGGAAAACAAACTCTTTCATTAGAAACAAGGTCAGAATTTCATTGTGGATGTACATGTACAGCTGTACCATGTTACCAGGCACGTGTTGTTCTGCGCGCATGCAAATTTAAGTTTGTTTACTTTTGGCTGTGTGGTACGTAAATAGGTAACTGAACATTTTACTACATGTATGTTGAAAGAAGTATTTGACAAACAAGACAGCATTTTCTGAAAGCACACATCAATATTCTTTTTTGTTTTGAAATTAGTAGAACAAAACTCAAATTCCTGATAAAATCATGTGCAAAATCCTGTGGAACTGTAAAGGGGTAACATTTTATTTATAGAGTAACAAGACATGGGTGATTTGTCATCATATAGATACTGACAAACTTACCACTACAGAAATAATTAGATGAGAAAGATTTATGCCCTTTGACATTTAAATCAGCCGTTTTTAGCCGTCGAATTTCACCAATGACAGTTTGCAGTATTGTTCAAATAGTTGTTTTGCTTTTCAAACATTTCTACAGTGCCTGTCAGTCTGTGAAGAAGTCTCAACAGTTTTTACAATGATGTCTCAGGATCTCTATATTTTTCCAAGGAAGTCTCAAAGAAAAACAGAGTCTTGAAAGTCTTTTCAGGAACTGGAATTAACTTTATTGGAAATAGTTTAAGTTCAATTTAATTACCAATATTATGTATTGAACAGAGTTGCTTGTGCTTTGCTTTCAAGTCTTGCTAGTAATTCTGCTGTTTATTGGACTTACCTTGTTACATGAAACTTTGGTGACACGTTAATTTGGCGAATTTCATGTTTTCAAAAAATTGCAAATTTAAAGTGACACGAACAGTAAGTGTTGTGAACATAACACATTATGTCACTGTGGACATATAGTCCCGCCATTGCATTTTTGTTACTTTTGACCTTATTTTACCTTTGATAAAGTCGGTTTACTAAACTCGAGGACATGTTTAAGTAACATTGCCAAGGATATATATTGTGTGTTACTCAAAAACGTGAAGTTAAAGGGATTCAAAATACAAAAATTTTTGCAAAATTGCAGAATGTAAGTGTCGCAAAATATGCACATCCCCAAATCATGAAATAAATGTCGTGAAAATTTCATGTAGTAAGGTAGCCAACCTCCACGCTTGGCTAGTAAAAAAATTTTTTTGGCTAGTAACATCTAAGTTATCACTAGCCACTTGGCTAGTAAGTTGAAAAGTTAGTGTCAAGCCCTGTATAAAAAATCTCCAATACATAGCCGATAGCCAGTGGCATCGAAATATAAAAAAATAAAGTAACATTTGTGACAGCGTGAATTCAAATACCAAAAAGTATTAAACAACGGGACGCACAAAGGTCACTCTTAGCTTTTGTTCATATCCTTTCGATCTTCACTTGTTTTCTGCCGACTTTATCGAGTGTGTTAATGTGGTCCTGGAATATGTTAAACCATACTTAGCGTCAAATTCAGAACTGAGTGATAAAAATTACTCTAAATGGAATAAAGAAGTTCGCATTGAGCGACAAGACAAACAAAGAATCATAAAGCCAGCCGATTTCACTCGCTTCCCGCTTTGCTTGAGAAGCAAGTCAAAAATCATGAAACAATTTAAATTTTCAGATGAGAGTGAGTATTCCTCTGCCTGTCGATATTAACTTCCAAAAATTCAAAAATTTCAAGTTGACGATCAACCACTAAAAGTGTGAAAACCATATGTAAATAAACTCACTTCGTGGTTCCCACTTGGCCTGTTGTATTTCAATGAAATCATGAAATTGTTTCATTATTTAATCTCCGAAGAAAGATATGGTGTGCACAAATATGTACATTTAGAAGGACCCACCACATTATGGCAATTTGCAGCAACATGCCTATCAGGCATCTTAGCAAATTTTCCTGCTAAACAATCCTTCTGATCTGTAGTCTCTTTGCTCTTTCAGCATCCCTTCAAGCAAAATGGCTTCCCCGGCTGACATCACAGACCACCTCGCTCCATTCTCCTTATAACTCGGCAGTGAACCACTGTGGTGCATATTTTTGAATTTTGGAAATTCACAGAAAATCAAGGAAAAATCATACGACTATATTTTTCACCAATGTGATCATAAAAAAGGACTTTTTCTACAGCTAAGAAAAAAAAATTAGCAGTTAGGGGCACTTTAAGGGTTTGTTATGAAAGGTTCCACACAAAAATACTGTATGTCAATTTAACTGGGTCAGTTGAGGTACACAGATGTCTTAAAGTAACAAAACTTACAAATCAGAACACAGATTAGACAATGAACATTTTTTTTCTGAAAACATGTGTGGTACACTAATCCAAGTCTATTTCAGTTAATTTTATACCAAATTACCAAACCTTGCTGATAGTGAGTCTTAAGTCTTAACCAGTACTTCATTCTTTATTCTAGTTGAAGACACATGCAGTGAGAATTCCATTGATGAAAATGTCCAGACAGAGATACTGAACATTGATCCAGAAGAAGTCAGTAAACATAAATTAACAGGCACACCAGACAGTAAGGTATTATTGTTATTAATACTAATATTTTAAAGTATATAGATCTGATAATTTGTTTGTCAACAAGAAGAACAACTAACTTGGCACTTTCGGATTTATGTTAATACTTTTGCATGAAAAGCATGGTGCAATGCAGTAAAACATTAGGTGAAAGCAGTCGTGTGAGTGATATGAAAGCTGGAATATGATATGAGTCAAAACTACTGTAACAATGTGCTTTAGAATTCCAGTACAACATGATATTTGGTTTACCATGCCCAGACATATTCTACATGTATTTAAATTTGGTCTTTCCAGAAAGTATCCATACCCAACCACGGAGGGCTTCCAATCAATCAATCAATCAATCAATCAATCAATCAATCAATCATTCAATTAATCAATTAATCAGTTTATTAAAGTCATTGCGTGGGATTGAGGTTGCCCTCAGTATCTGAGCCAGAGGCTCATGTATAAAACACATGACTAAAATAAAAGAGATAAAATTAAATAAGTAATAACAAAGTAATAAAAAAGATACATACGTGGAATTGTTAACAATTGTCATGCTATCCAACTATCCAACAAGCTCGATAATAATTATTTAGTTTTAAATATGAACACATCTAACCTAAAATTGTGACAAAAATATAAAAATTTAAGATTGACAGTAATTACATAGACAGCTTGTCCTTAAATTTAAAAGATTAATAGACTCCAAATGTTTTTTGAAATGCACTTATGTTGGGTGACTACTTAACATGTGTACTGTGGGCAACTTGTTCCATAGATGAGTAACCCTATAAGCAAAAGAGTTATGGAAGTATTGGTTGTTATAGGAGGGTTGAACAAGGGTACAACCTCCTCCCCACAAGTTATAATGTGAGACACGGAACTTAAAGAAACTAGAAATATAACTGGGCTTCCTCATTTTAACAACCCCCCTCCCCATCCCCTTGCCTTCAGAAATTCCAAAATGCTCTATCCTAAATGCCTTCAAAATTCCGAGGGAGGTTGTAGCTTAAAATAGCGTCACAGAATAATTTGAAATTTACATCATTTCCAATCTTCTTCAGGACATAAACTTCTCATTTACCACTAACAGCAGACTCCCTTGTCCTCTGAACAAGGATTCTGAAAAATTACGTGTGGGGAAAACTGCTGCTGTTCTAAGTTTATCCCAAAGACAAAAATTAGTGGGGATTGTTTGCACTTGGCTCACAGTAACCATGGATATCGGACCACAGAGTTTCCTGTTAAGACGTATAATCCACTAATGAAGACGAGCTGCATAACATTCATAATAAGTGTTGTATTATATTATTTTTGCTTCACCTATTTGTTACTGTGAAAAAATGAGGGCCCAGCCCCTCCCATGTGCATTCTCTGAGTCTGCATTTGTGCCGACATAGAGTCCCAACAACTGGTATTGTTGTAACATTCCAATAGAAAATTTTCACATACTACACTGTAAGTCACCAGGGCTAAAGAAAGTAACCAGGTGCTAACAAAAATCACCACTTCCTCCATGATTCTGGCTACTCTGCTGGGCTATTCATATCATTCTTTAAATAAATTTGACCAAATAAGGCATCTCCTCCAAATAAAGCTGCCTATGTCAGAACTTTGTGACCAACTAAGTCACTCCTATATTAACTGTTTTTATGTTTTCAGAAAAACATGACGAGCAAGTCATTATCTAAGGAAAAACTCAACCAAATTAGTACACCTTCACAACTGACACAGAGACCATCTACTGAAAGGAGCTTTGCTGGTGAGGACAAGGGAAAGGTCCTAGAAAATGCAGAAGAAAAACTAATCAGTGTCAAGGGTGCTGTTAGTTTTGATGGTTCAGAGGGAACCAAAAAACAGCTTTCAGAAACTGACATAAGTGAAAAACCAGTTGAGAAACAGCTTGACACAATCTCAAAGCCATCGAGTCCTCTTTTATTGAAGTGGAGTAATAAACCAGTGACACAAGCTAAAGGGAAAAAGAAAAAAGTGTAAGTTTTACAGAGCAATGAATTTACCAGGTTAGAGCGGTTTTCAATGTGTCAAAAGTAATCGAGCAATTACTTTGGTTTTGGTTTTGGCTTTACTGGGGTTTGAGATTGGTTGTCTAGTCTAATTGATAAGTATTTGGTTTGCTTTCAGTTTTACTACACTCAATTGAAAACCACTCTGATCCTTAGAAGATTTACAAGTACTTGTATGCACCAATCTGACCATAATTTTAAGAACATTTCTGTTTTGTGAACTTATACTTTCTATTAATGTACTTGTGTTCACTCTGTGTTTTTACCCTGGAAAATAGCCTAGCTGTTTCTAAGTTATAGCCATGCAGCAATTTTATTCCTTCACTCCTTCCTTTGTTCCTTAACTTCCTGTTTGACTTTTTCAGTGAATCTGCTGACCAGTGCAGAAGGCTTTCACAGCTGTGTGCACACTTAAGTCATACACCAAAGTCAAGTTATTTGAGAAATGTTTAGATGGGAAATAGACAGGGGAATGGAGAAGAATTTGAACGCTGCTTTTTGCAATAATTGTGGTATTAATGTGGTAATGGTCTAGACAAATATAGACTTAACACAAATGCATCAATGAAAAGAAGATAACTTAAGACATTACACTCACTCTTACCGGGAATAGATCCTACAGCCTACGAATTTCAAAGCACTAGAACCCTTTTGATTTTACCAAGTCACCATGTAGTTTAGTAAGAAACAGTTATTTATGAACTGATGCCTGGCGGGTTGATAAGTCTGCCTGGTTAAGAACTGAACAGTTGTTGAATGACCACAGCACACTCATGGGCCAGGAGTTCTGTAGTCCCTGTTATCAGCTTGGAAAGGGAAGGAAAGAAGAAACAATCACGAGGATTCTTATGACATGAGCTATTTTTAGTTATTATAGTTGATCACCCATCTGGTGAACAAGGCTTAACATTGATGATTGGACAGGATGCAGCGCTTTCTTTGTGGTATAGGGACTTCGTCGATGTTTTCCAAGTTGACACAGTATTTTATTTCTAAGATCTCTCTTAAGATAAAAAAGAAAGAAAAATACCTGAACCCAGCATTTGGAATTAAACCCAAAACTAATTGAAGACCAGTTTAGATCTCAACATCAAAGATATATTTGTATTGATGGAGTATTCAAACACTCCAGTGCCACATGAGGCAATGAACTGGCTGAGCTGAAGACGGAGAAGCTGTCAGAAAATAAGGAGAGGAAAATCACTGATAACTAGAAACAATATCAGGGACTATAAGAAAACACCTTCTTGAATTTATTTTTAACAGTAACAGACAAAACCTCATGGAACATTTTAATTTGTACATTGTGATATTTCTTTTTCATTGTACCAAGACTGGTATAGATCTTCAATGTGTTTTTAGAGTAAAGCCATTGTTGTGTATTTTGTTCTTCTATTATCTTGTAAAACAATGTAGAATACCAAAAAAACCCATGTTGAGGCAGTGCTTCTTTTTGTTGTCATTTCTTTGTGACAATTTAGGAAAAAGAAGGAAGACAAGCAGTCACGACAGACTGAGGTACCTGAGTATTTTGCAGTGCGGAGAAGTAGCCGGAAAAGCAAATCAGTTATACAGGTTTGACTTTATTTTAAACATCTTGGATTTCAGTCAGTAGATATCTAAATGCAATTAGTGTTTTCTTTTAAGTTCTTCAGATTTAAGAAGCACCAAGCACCGAAAAGCTGCAGAAATCAGGTCTTTCATACCTACCAGCAATTTCTTGCTGTTGTCTGCTAGTCTTCATCAGGCAGCAAGGTCAACTGGTTACCTGGCACCAGTAGTATCACCTCAGTCTTTGATGCAAATGTGTTGCACTGTTGCAGAAGAAGTTGCTCCCTCTGTCAGTGGTCCACTTTTGTATCATTCTCCTGTTATTGTTGCTAGCGAGTTAATGTGTGTAGTGCATGAACAATTTATTTCTACATTTGGGGTGGGCAGAGTGAAATTACTGGTGTTCACAATAAGGCCTTTCAATGACAAATGTCACACATTCTAATCCAAATATTACTTTGTACCAAGGCGATGAAAGTAATACATTCAACTATTTTCAAACACTTAGTTGTAACATAAAAAGGGAAGAATGTAGTGGTAACTGTCATTGGAGGTGGAGTGCTCAACTCTTCCTACTCACCACCTTAGCGATGTTCAGACTGTTCTGGCCAGGTGTTCTCAAGCAAGGGGTCACATAATTTATCAGAGGGGTCACCAAAAGATGGGGATGGCCTTTTTGGTACAGGAAGTGGCCATGCTGGGAGAGGATCAGAGAGGGTCTGTAGAAAGGATTCTGGCTACATTCCTCAAGGAAATTTTTAAGACTTTGATGTTTCAGAAGGAATGCTCTCTAGTTGCATAAAAGCACAAAAGTTATTTGATTATTCAAGAAATAAGTTAATAAATTCAAATTATCTAATATTAACTGATCAATTACCGTAATATATTTAAGAACGGTGCCTACGTTTGTTAGTGCACACACATTCTGCACATCTCGCAAACCATAGTTTAACCGTAATGCTTGCTCTAGGGTTGACATTAACACAATCAACTACGCTACCAAGTATGCAAGTAAAATGTGACCAAATCAAGTTTAATGAACCTGTACTAAGACTAGGAATACCAGAATAGCAGCATGTCACTAACCACTAACTAATTGTTAACAGCTTCTGGCTGAAAAACTAGCTGTTATCCGTAGAACATTATGCTGAGATCCAACTGTAGACATGTACCTGCGGATGGTGTAGTGTGCACGTGAAAAAAGTGCGAGAGACGCAAATGTTTGACTCACTGGGGTGGTGAAAAGAAAAACTGTAATGGGCACGATAAGAGCTTTCCAAAAAGATCAGAACAACTCATTTTAACTTTAAAAAAAACCATGTGGTTACCCTACATTATATGTTATGAAATGGAAGTGGCAAGCCTATTCAACACGTGATTAGTTTTTGGTTGTGAGGAAAAGTTATTTAAAGTGTATTTTAGCTGAACCAGAGGAGAGCTGTCAGGGACGCTGAAAGCACTGTTGCAATGATTTTGTCACTAAAAATGTACCGGAAATGGTTCTTATGTTACCATTTACCATGTAGGTAGAGATCTTTATAAATATGTGTGCTTTACTGCATGTAAAGGCAAATTCTACAGAAATCTGTCAAGAAATATCTTGTCCTTCTTTTACAGAAAGATGCTGACATCAGCATTTTTATTCAAGATTTAGGGCTAATTATCTCGGAAAAGCATGGCTACCCCTAGTGTTTTTTTTCTTGGATTCCAATAGCCCTTGCTAAGACCTACTTTTACCATATGGTCCTAATTTGGTGAAAAAGACATATTTGTATTTAATAGGCACCGTCCTTAAATCAATTGATCTTCAAGTAAATAATAATTGTTGCTAAGTTCTTCTACCCCATTTATCTTGTTGACTGATTTTCAAGATAAAACACTTTGGTTCTCTTTAGTACTTGTTGTTAGAAATCACATTTGTATAATTTATAAATAAGTTTTGTTTATGGTAACAATCATCCCTTTTTCTAGAGCTCTAGGATCTCTAGTACCAACTCTAGTACTAGCTACATGTAGTGTGCTCTTTATCACTGTTTTGTTTTTCCTTTGCAGAGTGAGAAACAGAAAGCTCTTGAAGAGGCTGTGTTGTCAGGCAAGGAGCAAGATCTAGAGGTTTGACTTTTACTACTATATTTGAGACCTTGGGAAAAATTGGAGAATAATAGGAAGCTTCCTTTTACAATACTGAATTATGTTACATCCTGTGACCTGTATATCACAGGTAAACTAATATCTGCTTGTTGGTGAACTCGTTTATCACAAGGAAGACTGCAAAGTAAAAGAAAGTTCAATTACTTGACAACTAAAATTTTATTGTTACTGCAGCAAATGTGTATCAGGGGTACCGGGTGAATAATATTACTTTGCACACAACCAGTGTAACTAAACATTTTACACCTAGAACTTAATCAGTTAAATACAAATAAAACACTCTCAGGTTCAAAAATAATTTACGATTACTTTACAGCCCTCCTTGATTGGTTTACTTGATCAATTACATGCAAAACCTAAACTAGCGTGAGTCAGAGAGCCGCTCTCTCTGATTTTTTTCTTTCGGAGATGGGGCAGCTGTGACTCAGGCTGAACGTAAACCAACTTTCACAAGGGTGTTTTTTTTTTTTCATTTTGATGCCAGGTTCAAGAAGTGGAAGGTAAAGGAAGAGGCGTATTTGCTAAACAGGAGTTTTCCAGAGGACAGTTTGTGTGTGAATATGCTGGTGAACTGATAAGTTATGAAGTTGCAAAGGAGCGGGAGAAGTTTTATGAAGGGAAGACGGAATTTGGATGTTACATGTATTATTTTACTTTCAAGAACAAAAAGTTGTGGTGAGTACAGCCACTAGTACTCTAAGGAGAGGAAAATATGTTTTGAGCCAGATTTAGTTACCATTGTTCATTTCCAATTAACCAGGAGGATTAAGGAAACACATTTAAAGTGGCTGACAACAGTTTCCAGCATTTTTCAACAGTTGCACGTTGACATCAATGCTCTAAATTGAGAGTGAAAGGATTATCAGATATTCCTTTTCTTTCTGCACCAAGAAGAAAGAGAAGGGATTCTGTCTCACAGGTACGCTTGACCGACCCTGAATGTAATTACCGGTATTTTTCTTTCGACTTCTAGTGTTGACGCCACAAAAGAAAGTGACAGGCTCGGCCGGCTACTGAATCACAGCAGAACTGATGCAAACTGTGCAACGAGACTGGTGTCAATAAAGGACAAACCTTACTTGATACTAGAAACAATTAGAGACGTGAAAACAGGAGAAGAACTTCTATATGACTATGGAGAACGAAGCAAGGATGTCCTTCAATATCATCAGTGGTTAAAAAGCTAGACGACATTTCTATGATTGGTCAGGCAGCTGAAGAAATGAAAGTGTTATCACCAGTCTAATCAACGCATGAACAACGAACAGAATGGAAACATCAATTCATCATTCATTATTTTAATGAGAAACCGCATTTTCTTTCTCCAGATGTTTTTCAGCAAAGGGTAGTTAATTGTCGTAGACTATCTTTACCTCTTTGCAAGATATTCTTCATTTATCTGAATTTTGCGGTGTATTGGGTTTTATTTAAGTTACTTAACGATGATTGCAACTTTTTTGTTGTTTAGTACATGTAGGTATTTTCTGAGCCTCCGAAAACTCAATCATCGTGCAAAAATTAATGAACATCCTGGATACATGTGCAATAGGCCATTTCCGAGTTACCTCTTCGTGCAAATCCTTTCGTATGGAAATAAGTTTGATTTGCATAAAAAGTGAACAATATAGATATTTTATTTTTTGGAGGTCTTTCTTATCAAGTTGTTGAGGTCTTTTGGTTTTTTGGTGGGGGATCTTTGTTTTCAAGACACCCCAAGTGAGAAGTGCGATGATGATCCGTTCCCAAATATCCCTGCGCTCCAAAGATATGCTCCGCAATCCTGCAAACGCGAAAGGAGCGCGGGTGTGTACCCGTGCCAAGAACAGAGGGCTGTCATCCGTGGTACTGATGGACACATCTAACATCAAGAGAAGGTGACAAATCTGTTTGCCAACAAACTTCCAAGGAGGCTGGAGGCTGAGGATTCAGTACTTCTTACTCTGAAAACCGTAATAGTGATACAAGCGATAGCGCAGCGTGATGTATTATCATTTTAGTTCGTTTTGGAGCCTACTTAATAACCTCTTCAAACACCTGTGAGCAACCCATGTGATATTCTTTACCGCGTGCTTCCCATTGCAATGTCGATGATTAGACCAATTAATTTCGATATATTATTAAAATTCAGCCTAAAACAAAAGAGCTCAGGACGAAGCTCTGGGGAATAACTACAGAGTTTGTGGGGTTTATTCCCCAGAGCCTCGTGCTGAGGTCTATTGTGCTGAATTTTATACTACTACATTACTTATAAAACATTTCGAACGATTTTCAAGATTTCGCACAACAAAAGTGTTCGAAAACCTAACAAAAGTCCAGAGGGTTCGAAATACTTACAATACAGTATAAAACTTCTAAGTAGGTCCAAAGCTCTTAGTTTCCCACAGCTTCCAGGTAGAATTTGTGTTATTTTCTCGTCGATCGGTGTTTCTGTAAAATCCGAGAAAAACCTTCAGGGCTCAGTAAAACTATCATTTTCACAGATTTTATTTCAGTGTAATTCGTGTTTTGTAGGCGTAAATTTAGTTAAACAATGTTTCGGCAAAGTGCCCGAATTGTTTGTCGAAATTTGTCCGAAATGAGAGCAAAAGTGCCGAAAATTAATCGTCCGAAAAAAGTTCCCGATAATGTATTCTAATCAAACGGCTCGGAGAGCTTGTGTGAAGACTATAACCTTATCCAGAAGCATATCACCTAGAACTAGGTGATATGCTTCTGCCGTATCTCATAAGCTCAATGTACGATACATCACGATTAACACAAAATCTGCGACAAACTGGTGAAAAATAAGAGCGCTCGTCAAATGACCTCAAACAGACTCGCACCAATGGCGGATCTAGGGGAGGGGCCCGGGGAGCCCGG